CTTGAAATGGACAGAGTAAGGAGACATTGCAAAGGAAATGCAATTATTGCAGCCATGGAAAGCTATTCCCAGCTCCTGGGTTACCACAACAGAAGTGCGGGTGCACCCATCCCCCCTCACGGAGCGAACCCCCCGTCTGCACCAGCAGGACCTCCAAGTACCAGAGCCTCTCACAGCCACAGAGCTGGGCACCTTCAAGTTCTGATAAATGCAAGAACTGAGATTAGAGCAAGTCTGATGTTCTTCACTAAAAAGCAAAGGTTGATATGGCATTCAGACAGATTAAGGAACAGCTAAATCAGGAAATGCAATTATTGTAGAAAGCTCAATCTTAACTCAGTGTTCTCCTCCATCAGCCTTAAACTAATGGCCTCTCTTCATGTAATTATAGACTATTAGTTACACCAAACCATATTTGCATACTTACACAATGTTACTGTACCTCTTATGCACATACCATTCTGCAGTATTAATGCTGCTTCAAATTTAATTGATGTGGGTTTTACTCCAGGGTAATTCAGGGCTTCAGTGAAGCTCCCAACCGCTGGTGCCTGATTAACTCGGGTTGAAGCCAGAAGAATGACTCACCAGAAAAAAAAACCCGCTTGTGGCTGACACAGCAGGGACAAAACTAATGGTAAGTCTAAGGGTCATCAGAATAACAAAGTTATGAAGGCTTCAAAGAAGAATGGACAGAAAATTGGCTATTTTAGGCTCACTGCGGATGGAGGACCGTGGCTGGGGCTCCCGCTGTCCCAAGAGCTCTCTGGCACCCATCCGGAGCAGGGTTTGCAGACACTGAGACCCTGTGGCTGCTCCATCCCACCCACAGCTCAGCCTCTGCACCAGAAGCTTTAAGAGACATTTGAGCAGCTCCCAAGCAGACTCTTCCTCATTTTGTTAATTGGCCTATTCCACTGATCTAAATATGACAAGAGGTAAAACCTGGCCTTGCTGTCTGTGCTCACACACAGAGGAATCAGCTGTCTGGAGCATATGAGGAAATAATTATTTTTATTTTTTTACTTGCATCACGCAAAAATATTCCGAAGGTCAAAAGCTTAGCCTAGAGGTGCCCCTCAGGTAAAAAGCTTAGCTTTAAGGTGCCGCTGGCTGAGCTTTCATGTTAAAGACTCCTAAAAAGTTAACCCTCTAGCTTAAGGGCACCTTTGAGCTAAGCTTTAAAACTGACTCAAACATAAGCGATGAGAGATCCCGGCCTCCATGTGCTCTGCTGAAACCCCCAGAAACATTACCACAAAGCCTGGGCACAAACTGAGAGATGCGGAAAAACAGAGAACTGTTAAAGGCTTCAGAGAATACAAAATGACCATTACCTTGGGGATACTTAATCACAGGAATTGCTCCATTCTTTCGTAGCCTTTCAGACCCAGGGAACTATTAATACAAATACTCTGGGAATTATAATACCTTCAAAATCCTTGATTTTAAAAAACGAAGTCACATTTTGGTCTTTCAAGGACTCTGAGTCTTGTGAGTATCAAGATATTCAGGAAATAGCTACTCTACTCAAAGATAGGTTTCATTATTTAGTATATTTTCTCACTAAAACAGTATTTAGTTTTGAGCTATAACAGCCCCGGGTGGTGCTTGTTGCTTGCCTTGCCATTGGGAAACTTATCACCCAGGCACTGGACAGTCTGAACATCTCGTATTAATAAATTAACGGTGAAGGTATTCCTAAGGCAACAGATTAACTTCCTTAGAGTAATCACATTAAACAAACCAAGTTGGCGCCAGGCCTCACACACCAAAGCACTTTCTGCCTGAACTCCCCGTGGGACAGACCTGATCCCGGGGTGCCAGCCCAGCTCCCCGCACACACACACCGGGCACCGGGCTGGCGGCCGCGGGTCGGGATTGCTCCGGCAGGCTCTGCCCTCTCTCGGGGGATGGCGGGGACCAGGGACAAGGGCTTTCTGTGCCCTGTGGCAGGGCAGAGCGGGGCTGCACCGTGGGCTGGTGCCCACTGAGGACAGTCGCTGCCCTGTGCCTCTGCTGCAGCTGCAGCTGGGGCAGAGCCCCCAGGCACGGCTGCCAGCCATTCTCCACAGCTCTTGAAAGAAACATTCAAACGTGTAATATTTACCCCGCTGATTTTTTTAAATCTATTTATTAAGCTGCCTTTTCATTTCTTTCCCTGTGCTCCTGATACAGCTGCTCTGTGCTCACCCCGCTCCCCTGGTGGCTGTGCAGGACACCACAGCAGGGAGGGTGCGGGCAGTGTCACCGGGCAGTGTCACCGCGGCAGTGTCACCGGGGCACCCACAGGGCCCTGTCAGGATGGACAGCCTGCTGCTCTGCCACGGCTCTGCTGAGCATGCAGGAGAGTCCAGCAAAAGCCAGTGCAGCCACCCCAATAAAGTGATAAAGACAGTCGAGATGTTCACTAACGAGCCTTGGACCCAGACCACGGCCTGTGGCATCTGTACAGCCAGCCCTTTGTTTTCCATTGCTGCAGCTGCGACTAAAGACCCTCCCCTGCCCACACCACCACTTGCTCTCCAACATGAGTCACATCTGCACAGTCCCGCTCCTCCATCCCCTCCACACGGTCCCGCTCCTCCGTCCCCTCACCGCCGCCATGAGGATGAAGCTCCAAAGCCCTTGGTCACCAGCTCCTCCCTGCTCTGTCACACACCCAGACCTGCCGCACCATCCTGCGCAGTCTCCCTTTCGGGTGCGCTGGACATAGGAAGTTTTCTTTTATTTCTGTGTTTCCTATTTCCCAAGCAAGTACAAATCCATCCACAGTTCAGTGGGAAGCTTTTTCCCCCAGGAGGAAGAACCGCAGCCAGCACCAGACTCCACAGCAACGGTACAAACCCCGGGCTTGGCCTCCACTCGTAACACATCACCCCCCAACCTCCCACAAACTGCTGGTTTGGTAATTCCACGTTATTTGCAGGAATAAGGAATGTGCAGGAATGAACTGCAGAGCAGAACAAGCTCCTGGTAGACCCTCCAAAGCACGAAGCATGGAGACACACTGGCGCAGAGCAGCGAGTGCACGGCCTGTGCCTCAGCCTGCCCACGGCGACGCCGGGGCTCCAAACCTCCCCCCGGGCACCGGTGCGGAGCAGGGACCTTCTCTCGGTCCTTCACAAAAGTACAGGGCAAATATAAAAGCTGCTCAAGTTTCATATTACATTGTTATGGCGGTTAGGGTTAATAAAATAGTACAAACCTCTGTCACGTATCCGTTTGGAACCCAGCTTGAAAACAGCAGCGTTTGGACAGGTACCCCCCAAACACTTTCATTGTATGGGCCAGACTTTCAGCACAGCAGTATGAAATGTGCACCATTATTTTTCTGTCACAATTAATAAATTGTATCTAGACCTCAACACTAAATTCAGATACTGGATAGAGTATTTAATATTAAATAAAGATTAATATTTCAATAATTCCTATCAATTCCTGTGCACTGTGAGTGAACTGAAAGCAGGCTCATCTGCACTGCTCACGGTTTTGTATCTGCACCAAACAATTGCAGAGACCCCCAACTGCAGCGATGGACAGACACACTCACCAGCCTGAGATACAGATTCAAGACCTTCAGCCCAACTCAATGTCAACCAAATCGGGAAAAACTGGGAAGTTACTGAAAATGTATTCAAGTTGTTGGTCTGTCAAATTAATAGCGCAGTTAAAGATCTCCTAAGCATAATAACCGATTTTAAGGATAGAAAATAACTATTACATGTCTAAATATCAATTGAAGTACCCAAAAGAATTACACTTCTGCAGAACAACAAGTATTTCAAACCCTGCTCAGAAAAGTACACAAAACCACATTTCTGTTTAAATTCTGGAAGAAAAACGTAGGCACGACTCAAAGCGCGATGATTGTACGAGCTCAGAGCAGTTCCCATCTTTGTGCTTGCTTCCTCGTCTGCAGAGAAGGATGCTGCTTTCTCTATTCAAAGGCTTGCTCTCTGAAGGTTACTTAGCTGAGGATTTCAATCATCTTTGATATCCTCAAGTTGAACATGTTGCAGAAACAACAATAAAAAAGTTTGCATTTAAAAACCCAGGCAGTTACTTTGATCAGTATATATGTACTCGTTCTGAAGTGGTTTGTTTTGTAAACACACATCCCAAGTGTGTGGGCTGCTGCAGCCCCACGGCACTCAGCAAACCCCACCAACACACGCTGCTCTTGGGGCCCAGGCACACACCTGCCCCGTGGGGATCCCCCATCGCTCACCGATCCACACTCATGGGCTCCAACTGGGTGAACGAGCCCGGGAGAGCTGGGTGACAGGGAGGTGTTGTTCCCCATCAGCCAACTGTGGGCAGGGTGTGCGAGGGGAACCGCCGTGGCTCCCTCCCCACGGGAGAGCAGCAGGGGTGGGAATGTGGATCCACCCGAGCTGCAGGTGGTTCCCCAAACGGACAGTTCACACCACCAGCGCCGTCGTGTCACACGGGGTCACGCAGCCGCGGGAACGAGCACTCCCTATGGGAGAAGTCCCACCGGAGCCTCAGCAAACACAGACACAAAACTTCGCTTTCCTGCCCAGAAAAGAGAAAGTTCAAACACTGTCGAGAACACTTCCTTTTTCCCAAATGGCAGCCTCTTTTGCCGAGACCTGAAAACAGGCTTTTCTGAATGAAAGGGCACAAGTAACCAAACCCAGGCAGTGCTAGATATAGTCTTTTCCATTTTCTTGGGAATATACAGCTGAATTAAAGGCCACATTTACAAACTACATAAACCTGAAAATCGTGCAGCGCTGTAACTAGAAAGTCTTCCTTAAGCGGGTCCTGCCGCTTGCTCATTTGCACAATTCCTGCAGCTTTACCAGTAAACCCAGAAGCATCGACTGCCATAAACACGGGCATTTTCTGCCGAGCCCCCCAGCTCCCCCCGAGCCTTCTTCCCGCCTTCCGAGCCTCCCCCCGGGACGCGCATCAGCCGCCCCGGGCCCGGGCAGCCCCCCCGCGCCCGCGTACCTTCCGCACGGCAGCTGGAGGAGAACGGCGGGGCCCTGCCCGCCAGCCCCCCCGCGCCCGCGTACCTTCCGCATGGCAGCTGGAGGAGAGGATGGCGCTGGGCGGCCGGAAGATGTACGGCAGATAACGCGAGAAGCATTTCATCTTCCAAAACGGTAATTAAAAAAATAAAGGGGGGGGTAATGGGGAGGGAGTAAAACCATACAGACCTCAAAAAAAAATCCTAAAAAAAAAAATAAGACAATCCCGCGGCCCCTCCTCAGCCCATGGGGCTCCCGCCGTGCCCAGGCGGCCTAGGCGG